CAACCAATTTTTTTTTTAATACAGTTAGCAAATTAAAGTTTACACAGCCCAAAATCATGACAAAAGTTTGAGGGCAACCAGTAAATGCATTTTCTAGTTATCACACAAAATTATTCATTTCCAAGTTAATAAATTGTCAAATTTACTCCTACACAGCCTAATCTCAAATGGTACCGTCCTCTTTCATACAATGCGAAGGTCATTAGTCTGATACTTTGGAGAAGAGGTTATAAATGTATGGTGATACCGACACTGTGGAAAAGGGCACTTCTGTGCAGTTCGGGATATTTATTGCAGGAAACCTTGGGCCAGTAGTAGTTTCATCAGTCCTATTATTTAGTAAGCTAAAACAGGTTAATATATAGGTATGCACCCCTTATTTCATAGAGAAAAATGCCATTTCAAAAATTAAATTGACAATTTGGCACCTGTTAGCCAATAACTGTCTCAACTTTCTAAAAATTATATACCAGTGAATAAACAGAAAAATGGATGGGGACACACACACTGTAACCCCACAACCACAGAAGTTACAGTAAGCTCTGTGGGGTGAGTAATTACAGCATTGTGTGTCCTACATGCAGGAACCACGGTTAGAGTTCCCTTCCATCCCTCTGTGTATTCAATGACAATCCTTGATTATAGCTTATCTTAGGTTTTTGATACACTAGTGTGGAAAGTTTGAAGTCACCAGAAGAGACTTTCACAGGTTGTCGCGCGAAATACAAATCAGAGAATATTCTATATAAAATTGATCAGAGTTCATTTCCTGCACATGCTAATAGTTGCATGACTCTGTCCCTAGTCACAGTTTTCCTCTAGAGAAAATTTGAAGCCAATCGGATGAGATGTTTTTAAGTTATGAACGAAAATCTTGATGTACCCTTTCAGGTATGCTTTAAAAAGCATTCTAGCTTAATTTTTTTTACTCTGTCATCTGTTTTGACGACTGATGTACTATTTTGTCGGTTATTTATTATTTTAGTTGACTCATTATTATAATTACCTGGTACTTTCTTTTCTACAGGTTGATTCACTCGTAGAAGGCCCTGAGTTGGTACTCCAGTAGCTGCAACCGTCTTGTTTGTATATTATGCCTGTAGTAAACCATAACTCGGGGCCTCCTGCGAGTGAAACACCTCTACACTTGTGCAAGACAGGTATACAATACCGACAAGATGAAAGTTAAGACACTTGTGCAACATCTGGTTGTCTTTATTGTAAACGTTTCGCCATCCAGTGGCTTTATCAATACAGATTCTTGGACATAATTAGAAAACAGAAGAACTATATACAAAAGATGAGGTAATCAGTCCCTCAGCCTTGGAGGTGGTGTTTATGAAATATTACCAATACTACTGTTGTTGCTGCTGCTGCTGTCAGGCAACTATTCATTTACAATTTCAACGCAGAAAATAATTCCCATGTACGTGCACTACAGTATAACATAATACACTTGACACCTACACAAACGTAACCTGTACCTTTATTTATATTATATATATATATATATATATATATATATATATATATATATATATATATATATATATATTATTATAAATAATGCAAGGCAAGTCATGGGAAAGGGGTGGAAATCTTTAGCTCAAGTATTTTCACACTTCTCATTTCGTCATCAGGAGCTGTGCAAAGTTGCAAAGGCAGCAACATGAGAAGTAGGGTAAGTTTTCAGAGATATGGTAGTGAGAATGGTAGTGTGGAGGCACCAGCCAGACTGAGAGGCTAGCAGGATGCCAACCCCCCACCGCATATGGGGTCGGGTGGAGTAGGCCTCAGTTTGCAGATAGCATGAGGAAAAATACTAGAAGATAGTTAATAGCCAGCCCTAAGCTTTTAACCGCTGGGAACAGGTCAAGTGGCGTAAAAAGTTACATTACCATAGTGGATCATTACGTACCTTCATTTACAAACTTCTAGTTAATGAAATAGAGGGAAACCCCCTCATTTGTCAGTGTTGCAGAACCTTCCAGAATATTCAGGAAATACCCCCAGTGTCAGTTAATATGCCTGTGTGAGTTCTATTCAAGCTTTCTTATAATAACTAGGCTATTCTTAATTTTAATGCCATTCCTATCATTATTATTAACTATCATCCGCTAATCATTATAATATTACCAACAACCTGATTCATTAAACCCCTAAACTAGTTGTAATCACCATGTTGCAACCACCTGTGTACCTTGTGTACCTTGTACCACTGTACCTAGACGGGTTTAGGACCTCAACAGGTCACTCTACATTTCTTTTGTGCTATCCTAGGATGATCACACATGTGCCCACATACCTAAATGAACCCACATACCTACTTCCTTACCACAGATGTTATACCGCTCAGGTTGCAGCCTGTATTGCGGCACACTACCTAGAGCACCTGTCGCATTACGATACCTGTATGTAGCAGCAGCTGAGTTATACCGACGGCAGACCTAACATATTAAAATATCAACCTTCGCGACGGGCTTAACAAGGTGTCACATATTATATGGACTTACACGCGCGACGGTCGTACCATGATGTTCAGTTTGCAGACTCTGGTCGAACATAACCAAAATATCAGGAAACCCCCTGGCATAAGGAGCAATCCTTTGTTTTTGTATAACATTGTTGCTTAAAGCTGTGCATAACTGACTCCACTAAATAACTGTCGAGTTTGTACAGCCCATAATTTGAGTTATATACGGCATTCCTAACATGTTTCAAGAGGGAGCACTCTATTGTTTCCATGATGGAACTGTTGGGTACAATTATTTGGGCGGCAGCCCACCCCGGTGGGTGATAGCAAGAACTGACTTGCTTAAAGATCGCATGTGACACCTGGTCTGTCCGAACCTACCGAACCTAGTTTCCACCCCCCACCTCCCCCCGTGACTTGTCTTGCATTGGTAAGATCGCCTGGCTCCGATTGTTTTACACACACACACACACACACACACACACACACACACACACACACACACACACACAATATATATATATATATATATATATATATATATATATATATATATATATATATATATATATATATATATATATATATATATATATAAAATCACTGTTTCAGGGTGGAGTGATGGGCGGCTGCGTGGGCTGGGAGCGGAGAGTGGGCGTGTGGTGTGGGTGGTGGAGGACGCCCACCACGGCGGCGTCAACACTGTCGTCGCTCTCACGAACGACCACGTTGTCTCCGGAGGTCGTGACGGAAGGGTAAGTTCTCGTAACCATAATGATAACAAAATCCTTCAGTGTAACGTGTGGGGGAGACTCGCGAAGGAGATTCAGAGAGAGTAAGAGACAGAAGAAATTTAAATGTAAAAATTTAGGTGTGTGTGGGGGGGGGGGGAGGGCATGATTCTGAAATTACTACAGTGCTGAAATTCTATCATGGTTCTGCGAGTGTAATATTTACGTCTTGTGGGGGAATTGAAACTTGTCACGTAATATGATGTCTGAACTGTTGAACCTTACGTGATGTCAGAACCATTGAAGCTTGTAAAGTGATGTCTGACCTGAGGGTTCTTGTATACCTTGTTTGCCAGTAGTAACAGCAGTACCAATGTTTGTCAGTAGTAACAGCAGTACCAATGTTTGTCAGTAGTAACAGCAGTAACAATGTTTGCCATTAGTAACAGCAGTACCAATGTTTGTCAGTAGTAACAGCAGTACCAATGTTTGCCAGTAGTAACAGCAGTACCAACGTTTGCCAGTAGTAACAGCAGTACCAATGTTTGCCAGTAGTAACAGCAGTACCAATGTTTGCCAGTAGTAACAGCAGTACCAATGTTTGTCAGTAGTAACAGCAGTACCAATGTTTGCCAGTAGTAACAGCAGTACCAATGTTTGTCAGTAGTAACAGCAGTACCAATGTTTGCCAGTAGTAATAGCAGTACCAATGTTTGCCAGTAGTAATAGCAGTACCAATGTTTGCCAGTAGTAACAGCAGTACCAATGTTTGCCAGTAGTAACAGCAGTACCAATGTTTGCCAGTAGTAACAGCAGTACCAATGTTTGCCAGTAGTAACAGCAGTACCAATGTTTGCCAGTAGTAACAGCAGTACCAATGTTTCTGATCATTTTATTTGCATTCGTGAGGAAAGCGCTGAACCCGAAAGGGTCGTACAGCACCTGAATACAAAGGACAGGCTCGATCCAAGGAAAACTGAGCTACATTCTCCTTTTTCCTGGATCAAACTTACCTTCACTTCCCCCCCCTCACCGTTCCCCAGGTGTCACATGATGCATGCGGGTTCAGCACTTCCAAATAATTATCATGACCCATGTGGGTTTAGCGCTTCATATAAACATGACAAGGGTGTGAGGTAGGTGCGGGTGTGGCTGCCTGAGGGATGTGGCATGCGGATGACAGCCTCTCAGAAGGAACACAGGGGAGAGGTGACGCACCTGGCTCTAGCACCGTCAGAGGCTCGGGTACTCTCCTGCAGCGGTGACGGCTCGTGCATCCTCTGGCTCCTGCCGTGAGTACCTCACTCTTCCAACCATTTTCATGCGAGCAAGATCCTGGTCTAACAAAGGTACTTATATTAAAGACCCTGTCCTAGGAAGGTAAATATCATTACGAGATATTTACTCGTTTTAACCATTAGCTTAATATTAATACCGTAATATTAATACCAACTATCCTGACACAGGCACCCACTACACTAACACAGGCACCCACTACACTAACACAGGCACCCACTACACTAACACAGGTACCCACTACACTAACACAGGCACCCACTACACTAACACAGGCACCCACTACACTAACACAGGCACCCACTACACTAACACAGGCACCCACTACACTAACACAGGTACCCACTACACTAACGCAGGCACCCACTACACTAACACCAATAACCACTTCTCTAAGTATTAACTAACAACTTTCCAGGGAGCTGGAGCGGATGTACCGACTCACTGCTCATACAGTGTTCCTTGGTGGTAGTTTGTTGAAGAGTGGTGAGATTGTTACTGTGGGAAGCGATGGGTCCTTGCTGGTGTGGGATCACTTAGATGGTACCCTCCTGGCTGACCTGCCAGCCTCCAACACACCTATCACTACCATCGCTGCCACTCCTGATGATGCTACCATAGTCACTGCCGGCGAGGATGCTGTTATCAAGGTACGTATAACAGAAGGTGTAGGTTAAAGAAAAAATACAAGGTTTACACGGCCCAATACACTAGGTTTTTCTCGTGAGTTTCTAGGAAGCTGCTGCTTCCTTGCACGAACCTACCTCTTTTATCCACTTGTGATGCACTGGTGTTATTGCTTTGTATAACCCACTAATGACTGCCAATGGTGGACCTACATTTTTGGGCCCTGAAAACTGAAACTGTTATGGGGGCCCCTTCTCATGCAGTAGACACAAAAATTTTGAGCAATATGGACTAAAGCCGTTTCTGGGGACCCTCCGGGATTAGGAGCCCTGAAGCTTAAGCTTCATTAGTTTCATAGTAGATCCGCCCCTGATGACTGCACATCCACACAGGTATGGAACTGGAATAAAGGTCGTGTGACCCATGAAGGACAAGGACACAGTGGTGCTGTCACCAAGATCTGCATATCTCCCAGCGGGGATGTGTTGGCCTCTGTGGGCAAGGATGGAGCTCTGCTCTTCTGGAAGATCCCGTAAGTCAAGACTGTGTAGCATGATTTGCCCTCTGTCACACACTGATGCTCTGTGGGAACAGTTGATGGACATTATCCTGTAGGAACAACGCATGGATATTATTCTGCGGGAGCCGTTAATGGACATTACTGTGGGAACAGCTGATGGACATTTCAAAATCATGTGTGATGTTAATGGGAGTTATCTATTAATACTAAAAGAAAAATTTTAGATGGATAATTTTAAGGATAGTATATCTATGGGGAAGCGCTAAACCCCTGAGAGTTATGCCCATAGGCAGACTCTAAACAACTAGGGGTTTTACAGCGCCTGGGAAATGGGAGGTTTAATTCGAGGAAAGAGGTAGCTAAAATTTAATAGATCAAGAGTCCTTCAGTGCCATCAACGTACCTCCCATGAAGGGAAAACTTACATATTCTTCCACTAAGTCTGTCACTACCATGCCAGCAATATTTTCAACAGAATAATGTCCACTGATAATTACAGGACGCAGAATCGCTTAAACATAAACGTTAACAAATATTTACCTCACAAATACTTAATTTTTACCTGGTAAACATATTAAAAATAAACACTTAGATTTTAAGCTTTATGATCTTTCAAATTTTGATGCCGTGTGCCAAGAATGATTTAAGTAACAATAAGTAGTAAAAGTGTATATAATAATGCTTGTAGTATAAACATGTACATATAGGCATATAATTAATTATGAATTTGTAAGTGTCGATCAGCCATAAAGGCTCTCAAGATAAAGTGGAAGTAGGTTCTGCTGCCTAAAAAATAGGTTAGAGATGTAATATCACAAAGTAGCATCAACAAAGTAATTTTCCAAATTTAATTCATTACTAAAACATTGTAAAGGATATGAAATGCAACTGTCTGCACACGTTATCACAAGTATTGTACCATGAAGTTCACTGACAGATTGTATTGGTCGTGATGGTCCCATGGACGAGTCCCCTCCCTCTCTCATGCGTCCCTGATATCATTCCATAAGATTTTTGAAATGGTATGTATAGGACTGGTTTCTAGGTACCACCTCTCAAAGGAGCTCTTGATCAGTAGAGCTGGATTTATCATCGACTTCCATGAATTGAAACTAAATGCGTCCCATTCCCCAGGAGCTTTATTACTCATGTACGTTTAGTATTTTCCTCAGATTAAAGAAGGAAAGCCAAATATCAGTAGCTCTAACAGTACAACATTTAGTGCTAGAATAAATGATATCAGGTACTAACACCAGATATGTTGATCACTACGTATAATGAAGTACCAGTTAGATGCGCTATAAGCCACTAAACGTTTGTATAAATATGACAACTTTAAAACTGTGTAAAACTTTTATTAGTTCATCTGTCGCATATAGAAAACCACATTTTCATAATTGTTGTGAAATTAAACAAAAGTGAATTTTGTGAAAACCCCCTCTTTTTTTTTTTTTTTTTTTTTTTTTTTTTTTTTTTTTACAGATCAAAAAAGACTGCCGCCACTAACACAAGCTGATATTCATCAGCCAAGTTTGCTAATACCATGTCAACATGTCAACAATTTAAGGACCAGAGCAAGCTCAGGCGAGTACTTGATTAATTACCTCACTGCAATCATAGAAGTAACTGTGTTCATAGTCTATTGTTTGTATTTTAGAGCAGTTCACTCGTATCTGTCATACAGTATAATGGGGGACTGAAATGTAAGGGTAGGAATAAAAGGAGGCCAGGGTTAATGGGAGTGTAAAGTGAGCATCATTAATGGAGTTATAGTACGAGTCTGAGTTAATGGGGAAACTTTCAGTGAGATCAGTTAGTGTGTACGAGGGTCTGCAAACTTTTCATTACGATGGCCACGTCGTATATTTCTCACACTTTCACGGGCCAAAGAAAAAATTAGTCTTATAAATAAATGTAAATGAATGAATAAAATTTAAATAAATAAGTTTCTTCTGGATCCTTTTTGTAATCATGATATAATCAGAACAACAGAAAAATGACGATTACGAAGAAACAATACAATGCTTACCCTGAGAAATGATATATAATGAGTAAAAATTGTCGAACATAAGCCAGTGTTCTGACAGTGTTATCAATGTTCTGACAGTGTTATCAATGTTCTGACAGTGTTATCAGTTACTGAACTGCAGATAAGAAAAGCTGACACAAGATTAATTTGTACAAGATTAATGGGGATGATGGAATTGGTTTTTAATTTCAAAATATTTATGCTGAACTGATGTTTCAAGCTTTAGGAGCCAATTGTTAGAATGGACTTCAAATGCTCTTCAGGTAAATTTGAGATATTTGTTCTTGACATACTTCATTTTTGAAAATGTTTGTTCACACAGGTACATTGTACCAAAAACTGATACGAATCCACAAGCAAATCGCTTCAAATTTGCAAACTATCCAGGCTGTAAAGATTTATAAAATTGGATCCGAGTTCCTTCTTTATATTTTTCTTTCATCATGTCATCTGATTGCAGATCAATAATTTCCATTTAAAACTGACTTGGCAATGTTTCAACATTGAAGTCAAATGGATTTTCAAACAGCTTTATTTAAAGTTGTTTTTCCATCATGACCAGAAAATCGTTTCTGAAATCTTTTGCAAGTCATTAACGATTCCTGTTGCAAATGAAGAAAATTTTGCTTCACTTTCATAAGAACATAAGAAAGGAGGAACACTGCAGCAGGCCTGTTGGCCCATACTAGGCAGGTCCTTTACAATTCATCCCACTAACAAAAGACCATAAGAATGAACACTTTTTTTTTTTTTTTTTTTTTTTTTTTTTTTTTTTTTGTACTTCCCATTTCCAGGACTCAAGTCCGACTATATGAAAATAACCGGTTTCCCTGAATCCCTTCACTAAATATTACCCTGCTCACACTCCAACAAGTATGTCATACAAATTATTGAAAAACATCGTGAGGAAAGGACTTTCTCACTATCAAGAGTACAAAAATTCCTTGCTTTATGCAATAAATGCATTCCAGGCCAATGATACAAGGCAAAATTGCATAAAATTAATACAGTACACAACACAAAATAAGAGATATGTTCCTAGACTGCAAAATTCCATTTTTTGACAAATATTGACCAAAATGGCTTAGCGCTTCTTTTTGATTATAATAATAATAATAATAATTGACCAAAATAATTATAGCTTTCCACACCATAAATACCACAATACAAAGAATACTAAACTTTATATTCAAGAATTACAGTATGATCAGGATCATAAGCTCTAGAAGTGGTGTGCTTTCACTCAAGACTGTCAATGCATACTGCAGGTTACATCTTGGAGAAGAAAATGAAACTTGGATACCATAGGCGATCAACCAAGTCATAGTGAGGGGGTCCATTGATAATTTCGCCAGTCATGTATGCCAGCTTATGTGCAAACATACATGGGGCAGGTACACGTATAGTCCCCTGCCAATTGTAGTACATATGGCAAAGTTTATATGCCAAGCGTTGCATGTGGTCAGGCTGCAAGCCGCTGCTGTCCTCTGTGATATTAAAGGATGTCGGACTCACAGTTCCTTCATTATAGATTGAGATACCAAGAAAAAGTCGTACCTCTCAGGAAGTGTAATGACATCATCTATCACTGTGCCAGGCAATGGGTTTTCTAGTTGACCTCTGTTGTCTAGAATCATTCGAGTGTTGATCCTCTTGGACACAATTACAAAAGCAAACTTTGGGGACTTCATGCAAACCTCTTCAAAACACCTCTTAATAGCAGCTATTTCATGCTCCTTGACATATTATATCTGTCCTTCAACCCCATCACGATACACAATTACCAAATTTGGGTGACAGCCATTTTCCATATAATACCGACTCAAGGCATTTTTAACTCCTAATGCAAAATTATCAGTCAGCTCTTCCTGATTAACATGGCGGGCTGCTTGGGAGAGGTAACGGGTCCATGGCTGATTTAAGGAGGACACGACCGCACCGTATGAAATATCACGTCTGACTCTATCATGGTAGACATCATATCCAATAACCATGGCATTCTTAATGGGGACTGCGACACTCGATGGTTCACCACCCAGTTTGCAATTAATCTGAATAGCAACTTTTGTGGCTACTGACATCAGACGCTGCTTTTTGAAGAGTGTTCTGCTCAGGATACACTGACTAGGAATGCCCATTTTAATGCTGAGGTGGCGTTTGATAGCACTATACCTATCAGCCCGATTATTCGGTAGAATTGCCAGAACAAGCTGCTTTCCGGCACACTGGTTCAATAAACTTACATATTCCTGAGCACTATCACCATGCAAAGTAAATCTGCCAGGGCTGCTAATATTCATGCCCATGGGTGCTCCAACACGCTGCAAACAAGTAATCAGTCCATGTGCATCATCATTAAATTTCAATGGGTAGATAACTGCCCATATGTGATATTTTTCACAACGTGAGGAATGAACCAAATTAGAAACTTTCACCTGTCTTTCAAATAGCATCATTTTTGCCCTGAATGCGTGAATAGATCACAAATCAAATTTGTTTCGCGTTGCAATTTGAAATTCAATTAATTCATATGGCTTGTCACGTCTGCAAAAAATGCCAGTTTGCAAAGCCAATCAGTGTTTGGTAAAAGTGGTTCGGGTCGATTCTTCTGTGAGAAATTAATATATTTCCTTTCTGAGCTGAACGAACCATAAGAACCTTTCCACGACTAAGCCATCGAACTGCTGTATAATAAGGCAAGTTATCGAACTCTGAATCAGTTTCAGAAAATCACGAAACTGGCGATGAATAAGCCTGAGAGATCGAATGAAATTCACTGAAACAACAGGTTTCAGAATGCGACATATCCACATTTCCCGCACAATGCTTAACCTAACACAGAAACATGGGGGTTGAGTCCACCATCCTCACAAGCATTTGTGAACTGTCCAGCCAAACATTTCTTCAAACCGAACATGGTCTTGTCTCCATCAATTGTCCTGCATTACAGTTTATTCCACTACAGGCTATATTCTAATAATTTTTTTTTTCAATTCTTTGAAGATATCTTCCCCGGTTCCTATGCTGTGCATGCTATGCTTTGATGCTAATTCTTGTGTGACATTAAATTTATTGTCGACGCCACGGATGAACACTAGGAGTTGTAATGTGTCACATCATTTAATTCATCAACTGCGAGAGAATAAAACTAAAAATTTTGCAGTTTGATGAAATATATTGCATCCTATATCCTCAGTATCCTATATCCGCAGTATTTGGCGCAAGACTGAGGATTTTGAACAGATTTTCTTTTTCTGGGCATAACTCTGCCACAGCTTCCATCATACACTCTACTCAGATCTCCATCAGTGAATGGGTTTCCTCTTTAAGCTAACACATAAACTAGTTTGTAACTGACCCTCGTTAAAGCTTCATTTTCAGCTCTTCTGTGTAAAAACCTTGTTGGGAAAGCAACCCGCATTGCATTGACTCAGATTTTTGTGAACGTTGTTATTACAACCTAGGAGTCCCAAAGGCCTGTTATCCTGGATGTAAAGGGAGCAAAACAAACACAGCAGAAAACTTTTGACTTGTATTATCCTTCACCAATTTAGAAAAGAAGTATGTACACTATATACAACAATAGGTATTAGTGCACTCCACGGTAAGCAAGGCAGAATAGAAGCCACTAGAGAGCAGACCGTGCTTCAACCAGCTCTAGAATGGGAATGACAAGGGCAGACAGGAGAGTGGTACCCACATAACCTCTGCGATTGCCAAAACCATCTTCTCATTGGCTAGAACCTGGGTGCTGGTTGAACGACAGGGCCCCATCGTCAACCCTCAGTCCCTGGTTCGCTGGTTGGGGGAGATAGCCTGTAAATGAGGGTGTGTACATGCCCCGAATAAAGGTCACGTACTCTTGGCATGCCACAGCTGTGCTCCTATGAATTGGGAATAATTGGTTTAATTTTGGTTTCATAGTGCCGACATACATTATACTCCTTCAAAACTACAACAGTTTCGTGGCATACAACACACAAGGCTTTATCACCTGCTTGTATAAAGAAATACTTTGCACATCATTCTTCATTAAACAAGCGGTACTCAATCTGCACTGTTCTTTGTTCCTTCCATAACTGAAAGATATATCTGAAAAATGAAAAAGATTAAAACTGAAATTTGAACCAATTTTGATATTGTTACAAGCGGCAAAATCCATAACTTTAAGTGACTAAAAATGAGGGTTTATTAGTTAAACTATATATGAATATTTCAAGTTTCTGCAGGCCGCATAAACTCTTGTGGCGAGCCGCCATTTGGAGACCCGTGTTAGAGCGTTGAAAATGTTGGCAGTGCTTTCTGGGTGCTCTTGGGCAGTCTGTTAATACATGGTGAAGTGTTAGAACAGCCTGGTAATCCTTGCGGAGACGTACCGGGAATCACCTAGCATGTGCGAGTCATTTGTCTACTTTTTCATCGTGTGCCATCATGGTCTGATCCGTTATTGTGGGAGCGTAGTATTGCACACTTGATAGTGATGAAGACAAGATGGCCAGGAAGCTAATTACAGTTTGTTGTCCTCTAATTCAGACCAACTCTGTTGCCAACGAATTCGGAGTCGTTGAGAGAGAATTGGAAAATAGTCCGCAAAAGGCAATCTCCCCGTGGTAGATAAGCAGATCGTGGATGCAGACCAAGCAGCTGAGTGTATGTTGGTTACCCTGAACGTCCATGTATCCAGAGACCAAGCAAAGAACAACTTTTTGGGGTTGCAAGAAATAAGACATAATGGCTGTTGTATACAAAGAGTCAAAGAATAATTGGATGTGGGAAATTAAATTCTTGTATAACTTGTATGCATTTCAGGAGACTGAAACAGTAATGAAAGAGGAAAGATACATTATTGCAGTACATGCGATAGCAAGTATTGCATATACATCTGCAGAGAAAATGCTAACTAGCTCTACTAAATGTCCATAGGTTATTCTTTCTAGAAAAACAGCCACATACCTTACTCCATTTGGAAATGTGGGACCACTGCTGTTGTGTGAAAACACGAGTGACAGTTTTCAAAGAAAAGCGAGCACAAGTTTGAAGCGGACACCTTAGCCTTCAAGTATAAGTGGAAATAAACGTGGATAATCGGAACTTCCCAAGAAGGGAGGAAGAGGGGGAACGGGGGTTGAATAATATGACAATGTAAACATAAAGGTGGGGCACATTAGGAGACACTGTCAGAGTTCGTAATTTTTTTTTTTACTGTGTGAACATATGACATGTACGTACGAGTAAAAGAACCGTAAAGGTCGTCAAAGTAAAGGAAATGGGCATCGCAGGAAAGTTCGAAGGTCCTCAGACAGATCAAAGTTCTGAGTAGGTTCCTCACTAATGAGATGTGGGAATACCACGACAATTGCCAACCAAAATAGAAGACCAAGAAATTTTACTGTAGATACTGTGATAGGAGAGCAACAAAAATAAGTTGTAGGTTGACAAGACTTCCATAACAGATTTAGTTCTAACAACAGAAAACTGGAAATAACAAAAAAAGGCACAATACCGTGACTGGACCGATACACAGATAACCCACACATAAAAGAGAGAAGCTTACGACGACGTTTCGGTCCGACTTGGACCATTTACAAAGTTACACTAACCAGGCAGGAAGAGGTGGTGGTGGTGGTAGTAGTAGTAGTAGTAGTAGAAGAGGTAGTGGTAGTGGTAGAGTGGGGAATAAGGAGGACGAGCCAGTCAAATACAAAGGAAGGGGAGCACTGCAAGAGAGCTAGGTGCCCACAGAGGGAGAGCAAGCGCACAGAGGTGCGTGAAAGGGGAAGTGGTGAAATAAATAAAGAAGGAACAGAAACACGAGACAGAAGAGAGAAAGACAACCCAGAGGAGAAAAAGGAAAGAGGAAAGGGGAAGAGGGAGAAGAAGAAAAAGAAAAAGAAAAAATGAGGAGTCAGGTTAAGTCACGGGTGTATTATGAAAATAGACTACATAACATCAAAGGTGATATAAAAAAAACCTGGAAAACTCTATCTGAAATTCTTGGAAATAAAAAGTTATCCAAAAACAAAACAATCAAACTAACAAAATCACATGAACCCCTACTCACACCTACTGAAACAGCAAACAGACTTAATGTTTTCTTCTCCACCATAGGTAAAAATCTAGCGAACAAAATACCAAGCGTAAACACCCGTCCATCAGACTACCTCATAGGTACCTACCCAAATACACTATTCCTAGCTCCAACCAACCCCATAGAAGTTACGCTCATCATAAGCACCCTTAAAAACAAGGCAGGAGACATAAACAGCTTGCCTGCTTTTATGTACAAAAAAGCTTCTCAAGTATTGTCACCAAATTTTGCAACGCTCTTTAACAAATCCACTGAATCAGCTACCTTCCCAACAATCCTCAAAATAGCGAGGGTCACTCCGATCCACAAAGGTGACCAAGCTGACTTGAATAACTATAGACCAATATCTAACTTACCACTGCTCTCTAAAATCTTTGAAAAATTAATTCACAGACGGATCTATTCCCACCTCGTCTCACACAACATATTAAACCCTTGTCAGTTTGGATTCAGGAATAATAAAAGCACGAAGGATTCTATCATACGCATGCTAGAATTAATATATACTGCACTGGAAAAGAAAGAAGTCCCGCTGGACATTTTCACTGATTTATGTAAAGCTTTCGATACAGTCGACCATGAACTGCTGTACTCCAAATTAACGCACTATGGTATCAGAGGCCACTCCCTCAACTATCTAAAATCATACCTTAGTAACAGAACTCAATATGTGTATGTAAATGATGCAAACTCTTCTACCCAACCAATCACAGTAGGAGTCCCACAAGGAAGCGTCCTTGGACCACTCCTCTTTCTCATCTACATCAACGATCTACCGAATGCATCACAGCTACTCAAACCCATATTATTTGCAGATGACACTACATATGTCTTTTCCCACCCAAACACGGTCATACTAGCAAACACAGTCAATGCCGAATTGCAGATGATATCTGCCTGGATGATGACTAATAAACTTACCCTGAATACTGATAAAACCTATTTCATTCAGTTTGGAAACAAAGCTGCAAATGATCCAATTAACATAACGCTAAATGGATCATCAGTCACAAGACTCAGAGGGAAAATTCTTAGGTATCCACCTTGACAGTAGCCTTAAGTTCCGGACACACACACAACAAATCACCAAGAAAATCTCCAAGACTGTAGTACCTTATCAAAGATAAGGTACTACGTTCCACAATCAGCTCTCCTGGCACTGTACCATACACTCATATACCCTTATCTTACATATGGAATTTGTGCATGGGGATCAACAACATCCAATCACCTAAA